TACTGTTTTCATCTGTTAATTAAATATTTTATTTATTAATAAATATTCTACATCTCCCAATAAATGCCTTAATAAATTTGTCACAGTTTCTTATCTGAAAATTCCAAAACCCAGGATATCCATGCATGTTTGAATTTACTGTTTCCTCTCTTGACTATGATTCACATTTTTGTGCTTATTCATGTTTAGAAATATATTTGCAGTACTTGCTTCGGCTGCATATATACTAAAATTGGAATAATACAGAGAAGAGTAGTATGGTCCCTGAACAAGGATGGTATGAAAATTTGTGAAAGGTTCCATATTAAAAAAAAATAAATATACTTACTTGTCAGACATTTAATATAAAAATATACAGTACATTAAGAAGGAAATATTTTGCTTGGGAAAGTGTGCATGTCTAATTCTGCAAGGTCTCTGAAATTTGGGCAGAGTTTAATTATATTTCATCTGACTCTGAATGTGTTTCAGGTTTATCTGTTTGACTCACCAGTGGCATCAACGGTTTAAGGAAAGAATGATGATGCTTTCTTCATCAAAGCTCAGGATTTTAGCACCAAGAAAATTTCAGCAAATCTTTATGCATTCCAGATGCCAACTTCTAATAAACATTGGTATACATAAATATTATTTATTCAATTTTTTGGAAAAATACAATACAATTTAAAACATAAATACTGAATCATATAATGTTCTATTGAGTTGTTTTTAATTTCTATCATTAATGATTTATTTCTTATTATTCACCCAAATGGCATTTTTCCTTATGCAGTACTATGATCAGATATTTTATTCATTTCCCAGCTAAAAAAATGCACTGTAAAATTGTCCTATATAAAAGATGGAGTAAAACACAGAAATTCACAACAGACACATTCATTTCAGAAATGAATTAGCAATTAAACCAATGCGATTAATCCTACATTTAAATTTGTATCTCAGCCATAATTCTCAGTGGTACATGTCTAATGTTACAATAAATTTTTAGGGAAAGCCAGGAACTGTTTGATTCCATCTATTTTTTTTTACTTCAAAGTAGATTGTAAAAAGCACATTCAGGTTTCTGCTTGAATATATAATGATACAATGGGACATGCAATGAGGAAATATTGCCTACTGCTATTCGAATCAGAAGTGTGGTGAAGAATCTGAGTTTCAGAGATCTCCTATTGTGTTTTCTTTACAGTGCTTTCCTTTACAGCATTATTCAATAGGTAGACATGATATTCATTGTTCAGGTGATGTCCAAAGATGACAATTAAATAGTGGCCTTGCATTTAGGATTGCTTATGCCTCTGCAAGTAATTTTTCAGCGATAATAGCAGTTATAGTTCAGTGAATGCTTATAAATTGTCATGTACATGACACAGGCATAGCATATATAATCTTACTTAGTCTTCATTACAACTCTGTGAATTACATTTTATTGTTCCCATTTTATGAATAAAGACAGATAATTTAATTGACTTGAGCCAAGTTACATAGTTACTAGGCAACAGGGCCAGGATTTAAATGTAGAACTGTCTGATTTTCTACCTGTATGATGGGTGAATAGGAACCAAATCCTAGACTGCGTTGTAAACAAGAGCATGCTAAACACTGCCTGAATGTGCCTCCTTACTGTAAAAGAAGTTCAGCAGGCACAAACCAGCATAATTAAACAATAAATAGACATGATATGTTTAAAAAGTGTTGCTTTGCCCTCAAAGGGAAACTGAATCCTAAAGAAAGCTTGTTAGTTGCTCTTCTCCTCATGGTAACATTCAGCAGCAACAATGATCAAAACAATCATTAATTATATACAAACTTATGCACTGTAAATATGATAGAATGTTTCACCAGCAAATATTTCATGATTAAAAAACCTCATGAAGTTATAATTATTTTCAGACATAGAGAAGTAGCTTAAATAATAGCTTATTTTCATTATAAGCAAGCACAAGTAGATCTTATTTTCATTATAAGCAAGCACAAGTAGATCTTCCCTTTTCCCTTCCTTCTATAGATATGAATACTAGTACCCTGTAAGAATTCATTTAAATGCACAAAGTCTCGAAATTTAAAGGTAACAAAATACAGCCAGGAACGTGTTTATACATGGGGAACCATTTACTTCCTGTATTTTTAATATTTTGTATTTTTGTTCTTGGTGTATGCTAATTGCATTCCCAGAAGTTATCAGATTCTTCTTGCTTTAATACATTTCTAGGGACTTAAATGACTCAGTGCATTCTTCCTTTTCCCAACAGCATGGTAACAAATTATAAAACTTAAGAGTTGGATTCACCAAATTCTAAAAACTATTTCACAGTTCATAGGAGAGTGATAAATGAAGCTTTTTAACATGTTAGTCAATATCCCATCAACCACATTAGCTCAGCTGTAGATAGCTCAGCATGCATCAATGACAGACACTATCATGCTCCTGATTCTGTTTTGTTCTATTTGTTTGTTTAATTTAAATTTCCTAAGCAGGGAATTGAGTGTTATGAGCTATGACAGGCACATATTTGTAGATATCAGACTAGTTTTCTCTTGAGAGGAGCAGATGTTCAGCATAAAACCACGGATAATTTTTTATTGTTGAAATATATGAGATAAAATAATTCCTCCCTTTTTTGTATTTTTTAAAATTTTGTATTTGTTCTTTTTAGTTATACGTGACAGTAGAATGTATGTTGCCATATTACTCATACATGGAGTGTAACTTCCCATTCTTGTGGTTGTACATGATATGTAGTTTACACTGGTTATTTATTCACAAATGAACATAGGAAAGTTATGTCCCAGTTATCCTACTCTTCGGCATACACTCAAAAGACTTAAAAATCAGCATACTGTTGTGACGCGGCCACATCAATGTTTACAGCAACTCAATTCACAGTAGCTAAGTTATGGAACCAATTTAGGTGCCTTTCAACAAATGAATGAATAAAGAAAATGTGGTATATATACACAATGGAATATTGCTCAGTAATAAAGAATAAAATTATGGCATTTGCTGGTAAAAGGATAGAACTCGAGACTATCATCCTAACTGTTGTAAGCCAATCCCAAGAAACAAAGTCCACATGTTCCCTCTGATATGTGGATGCTAACACACAATAAAGAGGGTGGGAAGGGAAAAAGAGAAGTTCATTGAATTCGACAAAGAGGAATGAAGGGAAGGAAGGGAAGATGGGAATAGGAAAGCCAGTAGAATGAATTGGCCATAACTTTCCCATATTCATATATGAATAATTTCTCTCTTTATTCTGCAAGACATCTATTTTGCAATGTTAATGCTGTCTTTGAAATCTTTTAAATGAATGATATTCCAGGGCTCCTTCTGGAATGCTGATGAAGAAAACATCATCAATTAAATAACCCAAACTGGCTCACAATTTCCAAAAAAACCTGATAAGTATTAAAACCTTTTCGTTCATGTATCATTATTTGGGAAATGAGATTGTGCTTCCTGTTTCCCACGTATTCTGAATCACTGATGCTCCAAGTGTAGAGTGTGAAATAGAAGCATCCACATGAGCTGGGAACTTATAGATGCAGCCTATCAATCTCCACCTATGCAGTGAACTAGAGATTCTGGAGATGGGGGCAATCTGCATTTTAACAAGAACTACTGCTCAATCGAGACTCATGATTCTCAAAAACAGTTACCTGACAATCAGCAACATTGGCATCCCATAGTAAGAATAACAGAATTTGGGCTCCAGCCCAGGTTTACTGGTTTAGGTAACCCACTTGTTCATTAATGTTTTGGGGAAGCATTGCTTCAAAATAAAAGTGGAATACCTATCCACTGTTTGCCTCTACCCAAGTAATGGCACTCTTACACTGAAGCAGTGGGTGGCAAACATTCTTTAAAAACACTTTCTCAGTACAGTTCTCTGTCAAGAAGTATTAATCCACCCATTCATTCATTCACTTTCTGTTGGTGATTTACTTGGCAGAGTCATAAATACTGAATTTTGAGGGTCAATGCAGAAAATTAAAAAAAATCATAAGTTACAGTCTACAAATTAACTAACACTGAAATAAAAGTAAAAATTTGTTTGTTATCTTTGCTATAAAATAAATTGAGAAATCCTGAGGAAGTCATTTAAATAGTATTATCAACATATTTTAGTAACTTTTATTTAAGTGTACTTTAATTTCAATGGCATAAGATATTCTACGAGACACAGAATATATAAGGCATTCTATGGATCAGAATGATCTTCCTGGGGTCTCATATGCATCCTAGATATAAAGAGTTAAAGAGTACACCCAGAAAAGCTGAATCAGGGGGATGACCAATAACTGCTTTTGATTAACACTTTCCTTAGAAATTGAGAAAATTGTTTCATAGATTCATATTTCCACGATTGTTACACAAAATTCTTTTTATGAAATTTTAATTTAAAATGATCTAAACTAAATATATGGCACTATGTATGTATTCTGCCAGTCTTCATAAAACAGAATTTATAGCAAAAATTATGTAAATTGTCTATTGTGTACATTTAAAAGTGATTTATTTTGTCATATGCTTTTCCTGCATGAATTGAGATGATCACATGCTATTTGTTTCCCATTTAGTTCATGTAGTATATTACACTGTTTGATTTTCATATGTTGAATCCACTTCACATTCTAGGAATATCACTTGGTTATGGTATATAACAGTAACTTATAATACTGATAGTTTAAAAAAAACTGTATTTTCTCCTTCTCTTTCCAGTAAGCTCAACATATTCATTAGCAGGCTGTGAACACTACATACCAAGATGAAGTTGATCCCTTCAGAACAAATTTCTCCAACTCAAATTGGTCATAAAGCCAACCAAGCACATCATTGTACAGCAGGAGAAATTTATATAGAGAGAAATATTTATATATAATATAAATCTATATTAAAATATATATTATACATATAAACATATGTATAATATGTTATATATTACATATAAAAACATATATTTAAAATCTAGTCTAAAATAACAGTAACTTTTAAGAGTGTTTTAGAAAACTTTTGCATCACTGTGACCGAAATGCTTGATAAGAACAACTTACATGAGGAAAACTTTGAGACTCAGAGTTTTACAGGTCTCAATCCATAGAAGGCCAATTCCATTGTTCTGGGCCCAAGGTGAAACTGTATGTCATGAGGGGAAGGTTGCAATAGAGGGAAGCTGATCAATGCAGCAATGAAGCAGGGAGTGGGGAAGGAGCCATGGAAAGAATGATCCTTCCAGGGCACAGCTCTAGTGATCCACCTCCTCCAGCCTTTCCCTACCTCCCTAGTCACCACTCATACTGTCCCATCAAAC